ACTAACTAAAGACCTTTCTTGAATTTTACCAGCTTTTTTGCTCATGACTTTTTCTTGTTCTAGGCTCCTGACCAGATCCCACATGGCATGTAGTTATTTCTCCTTAGTCTCATGCAGTCTGTAAAAGCTCCTTTGACTTTGTCTTTCATGACTTTGATTTTTTTGAAGAGACCGATCAGTTATTTTGTCAAATGTCCCGCAATTTGGGTTTGTCTGACGTTTTCTTATGATTAAGCTGAATGTTATGGGTAACATTGTGTCCTCAGTGCATTGTATCAGGTTCATGATTTTCTTTGTCTTGTTACTGGTGATGTTGACCTTTATCACTGGACCAAGGGATCAGGTGGCTTCTGCTAGATTTTGCACTGTAGAACTACTATCTTTCCCTTTGTAGTTAATAGATATCTTGCAGGAGATATTCTGAGACTATGCAAATTCTGCTTCTCTTCAAACTTCTGCCCACTCATTTTTGCACTCTTCAATAGCCCTTTGTGCAACAATTACTAATGTTTAGCTAATGCAAGTGTTTTCTGCAGTTCTTTTTTTTTGTCTCTAGGCTTGTGATATCCAACCGAGGGCTCCTGTTAGTTCTTCCCATCCTTTTTAGTGTGGCTATGTTTTTAACTTACAGTAGGTTCACTTAGTATTTTTTATTCCATTTGGGCTCTCTCCACGTCCCAGTTGGTTTTAGTTATTTCTTTATTTTGGGGGTATGGGTAACACTACCATTGTTCTAAGAGTCAGAGCTACACAAATATATACTCTGAGTATCACTACCTCCTCACTCCTGCTACCCCATTCTCATTTACCCCCCTTTGCATCTTTTTCCCACCTATCCCCTACAGGAAACCAATCTCCTTAGTTTCTGGTTTATCTTTCCTGTACTGTGTTTCTTTTGCACAAACAGACAAATGCAGCATATCTTCTTATATACCCTTCTTTCTTAGGGCGGCATTTGTGCTTTGCATTTTTCACTTAGAAATATGTCTTGGCAACCACTTTCCATCAATTCACAGTTCTTCCTCATTTTTTCTAACAGCTGCTGAGTATGCCATTGTGTATCGTACCATAAATGTACACTTAGATTGTTTCCAAAATATTGCAATTACAAATAATACTGCAACGAATAACCTTCTGTGTGTGCCTTTTCCCCATTGTTCGAGAGTATCTTCAAGGGAATGTCATAGATACATATATACATATATCTATTTCTTTCCTTCCAGTCCTTCTGGCCAGAACTGAGAGCTATGTTGATGTTACTGTCTCTTTCATGCTTTGTTTCTTAGCTCCCATGGTCTTTGAAGTCTGTAATCGCTGATAGTAAGCACAGATGGTGGTCATGAGTACATGAGTACATTTTCTCAGAAAGTCTTCATTCCCTGACTAGGCCAATAATTTGGGTGGCACCCCCAGTCTTGTATTATGGAAACAGTTCTCAACCTTGTCTGAACATGAGAATCACTAAGAATCTTTTAAATATATCAGTGCCTAGGAATGCTCTAGGTGCAGAATCTCTGGGTGTGGGACTCAGGCATTTGTATTATTCTAAGGTGCCCCAGAAATTGCAATGTGCAGCTCAGGTTGAGAACTACTGGGTTAAATCCTTGAAATGTGACAAAAATCTCCTGGCCCTTACCATATTTCCTGTGATTTGAACTAGCTGCCAGAGTGTATCCTGGCTGACTTGGGAGGTGTTCCACTCAGAGAATTCCTGATTTTTACCTGGAGAAGGTAAGTATCAGTTGGCTTAATTTAGGGAGATCTGTAAAAGTCTTTAGTGACTTTTAGTCAACCTAGCCAAGAAATAAGTTTTTTCGGGTGCCTGGATGGCTCAGTCGTTAAGCATTTGCCTTCAGCTCAGGTTGTGATCCTGGGGTCCTGGGATAGAGCCCTGCATCGGGCTCCCTGCTCTGTGGGAGGCCTGCTTCTCCCTCTCCCACTCCCCCTGCTTGTGTTCCCTCTCTCGCTGTGTCTCTCTCTGTCAAATAAATACAATCTTAAAAAACAAAAATAGGGGGCGCCTGTGTGGCTCAGTCTTTAAGCGTCTGCCTTCGGCTCAGGTCATGATCCCAGGGTTCTGGGATTGAGCCCCGCATTGGGTTCCTTGCTCGGCGGGGAGGCTGCTTCTCCCTCTCCCATTCCCCCTACTTGTGTTCCCTCTCTAGCTGTCTCTCTCTCTGTCAAATAAATAAAATCTTTAAAAAAAAACAAAAAACAAAAACAAAAACAAAAAACAAAAATAGGGCGCCTGGGTGGCTCAGACGGTTAAGCGTCTGCCTTCGGCTCAGGTCATGATCCCGGGGTCCTGGGATCGAGCCCCGCAGCGGGCTCCCTGCTCCTTGGGAGCCTGCTTCTCCCTCTGCCTCTCTCTCTCTCTCATGAATAAATAAATAAAATCTTTAAAAAAAAATAAGTTTTTTTCTCATATAGAGTCTGAATGACAGTGACAAGTTGCTTCAGGCCAAGAAGGAAGAATGTTAAATTTCCTTTCTCCCCTTCAACACACAAATCAGGGTACCTTCCTTTGTAGTTGGCAGTATTAATAAGCTCCAACTAACACTTGTAAAGCAGAGCCCACTAGTTATACTGTTTTTCATCAAATCAAAAATACCATGACTTATAAGATACATAGTTATCTTATGTAACACTAAATAAGAAAAAGCCCGGGGCGCCTGGGTGGCTCAGCCGTTAAGCGTCTGCCTTCGGCTCAGGTCATGGTCCCAGGGTCCTGGGAATCAGCCCCACATCGGGCTCCCTGCTCCGCGGGAAGCCTGCTTCTCCCTCTCCCACTCCCATTGCTTGTGTTCCCTCTCTCACTGCCTCTCTCTGTCAAATAAATAAATAAAATCTTTAAAAAAAAAATAAGAAAAAGCCCATTGCTAAATAATTACGAGATACAATTGAATAGATTTTTAAATGTGGGGACATGTGCATATCAGAATTGATGACGTATAGTAGATCTTTAGCCTAAACCTCTTCTTTGAACTCCAAGTCAGGATAGTCATTTGAATTTCTCACAGGCTCTTTAAACCTAACATGTCCCATGGGGCACCTGGGTGGCTCAGTCGGTTAAGCGTCTGCCTTTGACTCAGGTCATGATCTCAGGGTCCTGGGATGGAGCCCCGCATCATAGTGATCCCTGCTCAGGGGGGAGCCTTCTTCTCCCTCTCCCTCTGCCCCTCCCCCTGCTTGCGCACACACACTCTCTCTCAAATAAATAAAATCTTAAAAAAAAAAAAAGAGCATATCTCTTTAAAAAAAAATCCAAAAGCCTAACATGTCCCAGTCTGGACTCTCCATCTACCTTGCCAAAGCTGTTCATTTTCCTGCATTCTCTGCCCCGACGAACGGAGTCTCCCATCAAACTAGAAACATGGAAGTTGAGCCAGTCTCCTGAAGTTCTTTGCTTTCCATATACAAAAGATCTTCCCCATTCCATCAGTTCTGTCCCCTACCCCTCTCTTGAAAGCACTGCCTTCCTCTTTCCCTCTGTCGTGGCTTTGGGTCAGGTCTTCCTCATCTCTCCACGGGATTACTGCAGTGATCTCCTACCTGCTCTCTTCTCCTCAAATCAATCCTACTTCACACTGTCCTTGTTTTCCTTCTTAAACATCGATCCGATCACATTATTCCTCGTTTAAATATCCTACAAGACAAATACTGCATCCGAAAAACAGGCAAAGTTCATGAACAGGCCACCTCACAGAAGAGAAAAATACACATTGATACATGTGAAAAGTTGCTCATGCTCATCACGAAATAAATGTAACAAAGACATTTCCCCCTATCCAACTGGCAGAGTTTGAGAGAACTGATAGCAACGAATGATTACAAGAGCGTGCAGAAGTACTCCTAGTTACGGCTGTTGGTAGTCCGGTATTTTGGGACGTCGTTTTCGCCACGTTTTGGGTTTGTGAGCAAACGCAAACTGCTTCCTGTCTCTGAGCCTCAATTACTGAATTTGGTCAAATGGGGCTGATATCTACCTTAAGGGCCTCAAGAAGTGAAATAATTCTGGGTAAAGTGATTTGTAAATAATAATAGCTAACATTTTACAGGGCGCTTGCTGTTCTAAGGGCTTCGTATGCGTTAGCTCATCTAACCTTCACAATAATCCTGCCTGCGGGTCCTCTCAGTATCACCCACATTTTTCCATAAAATAAAACATTGCCCAAGGGGCGGGGTCACCAAGGAGTGGAGCTGGGATTACGGACATTAAATCTACACAGGGGCATGTAGCTCGAGTCCTGTTTTTCCAGAAAGCCTACGCCATTATTTTCCTTCTTAGGATAGCCCTCTGAACCCATAGTCGAAACTTGCTTATGTAGCTTTTGCTCTTCGTTAGAAGCCACCAACTGGCCTTCTCTGATTGCTTTGTGTATCTCATCACAGTCCCGTCTGATAGAGCTCCGGGACCTCAGCCCACCTCTCATTCCAGTTCGTTTTCGGCGTCCTGCTCAATGCTGGGTACACTGTAAACCCTTAGATAGAGGCCTAACAAATGCTATCGTACATTTCCGTGGGACCAAAGGCATAGCCTTACAAATATGAAGTAATTTTCACGAGACTGAAACATACACAGCAAGAAGCCTACACACTGATGAGTACGCGCCTTGAGGACTAATAGCTCCGCTCCACCCCGGAGCACTGCGGGCGGACCCTTCCCGCTTTGCTACATCCCTCGGACTTTGCCCGGAACCTTTCCTGCGGCATCGGAAGCAGCCTGCCCGGACATCGCCCCTGAACACACAACACCGCCAGGCCTAGTAGTCTAGCTATATGCCTGAAATTTCTAGCTCACTTAGATGACTCGGGAGAAAACGGCTTCAAATTCTTGCACTTTTTAAAGTACTAAGTGACGATAACATTTTTGTCCCTTAGTCAATAGCGTCCTGAAATGATTCCGAGGAGTTTGTTCTTTTTTTTTTTTTTTTTTTGATTAGGCATTTATATGGACAGCCCATTCGAAACGAACAAGGAAGGCGGGGGAAGAAAGCGGAAGCCGCGGGGTCTTCTAAACCAGAAAGTCTCCGGAGCTTGCGCTAAGCTATTTGCGGCGCCCCCCACTTACACGCAGGTCTCAGAAACAGGCGGGGGGAAAAGGCGTCGTACCTGGAGCTGAGACCAGGCGGCCGGAGTCCTCAGGGATGAACCTCGAGTTGCTGGGTGAGGAGGGCTATGGTTGCGTCTTAGAAAACCCTTTGGTCCTGGAAAGGAGGGAACCCGGGCGGGAGAGACTCAGGCTGCAACCTTAGGGACAGAGTTCTGCTGTGGATCATTGGGCGCTCCTGTTATGGAACAGCAACGGGAGGAGGAAGCCCACCTTCTGCCTAAGCAGAATGCATTGCCTTTCCCGAGGCTACTTTCATATCAGTGGTGGAGCGGCAAGCAGTTTGTGATTTCGGTTTGATTACAAGGATCGAAGGTGCTGAAGTAGCCCAGAGCAGGCAGGACCAGAGTTTTTGGAGAAGAAGGAATCTGAGGATGTGAGGCTTGAGGTGAAGCTTGGAAGACTTGTCAGGGGTTTGGGTGCCTGGAAAAGGTAGACTGTTTTGTAGAAATACAGGATGCCTAAGGAGGGGAACTTGGAGATCTTCTAGTTGAAGTCTCTCATTGGACAGATGAAAAAAGTCTTAGTGTGGGTAGTGAGGTAGTGACTGGAAGGCACTGAGTAAATGGCATAGTTGGCACTGGAATCCAGTTATCTTGACTTTCTGTTTAACCCCTCAGCTCCCGGGGACGGTGTGTAAAACACTGAGAACTACAGAAGCAGTTGCTTTTTGTCAACCTCTTTGTGAGTCATTTCCTCCCTATCCCTTATCCAAGTTGTTTAAAAACTTAGGCCCTTCTAGGTTTTCATTAGGTGTTTAGCGTGATAGCCTAGGGATGTCTGAGGTTTTCCAGATTTCCTAAATGACTTGCTGTAAAGTTAAAAGAAAAAACACAAACAAAACTCAGAAGTTCTACTGGATGTTAAAAGGGCTACAGAGATTTTAAAGAAATTGTCCTTACCTTTAAGGAGCTTTTTGTAAAGCAAGGAGATTGAGGTGATTATCTAAATAGCCATAATATATTGCAGAACATAGGCCTTTAAGGGTCATTACCAAGCGCTAAGAACATTTAGAAGAGGGAGTGAATGTCTTTGAGGCAGGGGAAGAAGGGTATCCAGGAACAAAAAATCTATGGAGGAGTTGGGAGTTTTGAGTGGACATTTAAGATTAGTAAAATAGTGAAAGACTGAAGCATGAAGATATAAGGAGAAGTGCGTGTTAGGAATGTTTGAGCTAAGACATCAGCGTGAAAACACCTAAAGAATGTTCCTGCTTGGCCAGGTTGTGGGTACTGTGAATAAAGGGAAGGCCAAGAGATGCTGTCTGTTCTGTGGAGGCTCTTGAATGCCCAGCTGAAAAGTTTGTGCTTTTTAAGGGAGGTAGGGCAGATCCATTGAAGGGTTTTGACCTGGTAAGTAACTTAATCAGAGCTATGATTTTTATTTTTTATTTATTTTTTTAAAGATTTATCTGACAGTGGAACGCCTGGGTGACTTGGTCGTTAAGCGTCTGCCGTCGGCTCAGGTCATGATCCCAGGGTCCTGGGATCGAGCCCCGCATCGGGCTCCCTGCTCAGCAGGAAGCCTGCTTCTCCCTCTCCCACTCCCCCTGCTTGTGTTCCCTCTCTCGCTGTCTCTGTCAAATAAATAAATAAAATCTTTAAAAAAAAAAAAGATTTATCTGACAGCAACATGTCGTTGAGTCTTGGTTGGTGTCAAACCAGTTTGGAGGTCTAGAGTAAATGAGTGATAAAGAAGGCCTGAGCTAGGAAATGGAACGAAGAGACACTGAGGAGGTAGAGTTCACAAAATTTGGGAATTGACTGCATTTGGTGGTAGTGCCGGTGGTGAGGAACTATGAAGTGAAAATCATGGGAGCCAATGGTGGTATTACTGATAAACTTTTAAGGAAATTGGGAAAAGAGAGCATTGGGCATGTTGAGTGTGGATCTGGGGTTCAGGAGGTAGGTTTAGATTTATGAGAGAGATGTGTACTTTTACTGCAGGTGGGCTTGTTGAAACCTTGTGAGTGGATGACAAGACCAGGGGAAAAGGTGGGAGGGGCAGAAAGAGAAAACTGCAGAGGGCAGAATCTTGGACAATTACCTATATTTTGGAGTTAGGAGGAGGAATAAATGACATTAAATTAAGAGCTATATAGTACTTATTATGAGCTAGGCAAATTTTTGCATGCTTCTATATATTTATCCATGTAGAGGTGGAAGAGGATACTCGTTGGTGTGCTCTCAGAAGCCAGGTGAAGAGCACTTGAGGCTGAGAGCTGAGAAAGGACTGCTTGGTATAGTCCTTAGGCACTTGACACCCCTCAGCAACTTGAGTGGAAGCCAGATTACAGTCATTTTAGGAAGGTGTGGGAGGCGGAGTGGAGACCAGAGGTTGACCCTTATTTTTAAAAACGTCAGGATGGAGGAAAGGTGATAGATAGGCTAGTACATTGAAAGAAATAGTCATGGGAGAGGTTTTTCTTGAATGATACAGAAGATTGGGGAGGGTGAAATTTAGGAATATTTAGCATTGGAAGTTTAGACAATTTATTTATTTTTAAAGATTTTATTTATTTGAGAAAGCGCATGTTGGGGGCCGGGCAGGAGCAGAGGGAGAGGGACAAGCAGACTGATTCCATGCTGACTGTGGGGCCTGATGTGGGGCTTGATCCCTTCACCCTGGGATCATGACCTGAACCGAAATCAAGATTCGACACTTAACTGACTGAGCCACCCAGGCACCCAAGGAAGGTTAGACAATTTAAAAGAAGGCTGGGCCCATAAATCTACATTTCTATGGAAATGACTGAGGTTTAAAGGAGAAAGTTAATGATTGCAGATAAAAAGCTCAAAGGAGCAGAAGTGAGTGATTGTGGGAGCATGCATATGAAAGAATATCTGGATAAAGGAAAGGAATGATAACGCTCCTAATGTGAACTCAAGATACTAATTTTATTTCTGCAATCACTTTTGAGCCCTTGCTATGTATCCGACAGTATGCACTGGAGATACAAAGTTAAATAAGAGTTTTTCAGAACTATTTTTACTACAACTCACAGTAAGAAATCTCTTTTTCTTTTTCTTGAGGGAGAGGGCAGGGAGGGGCAGAGGGAGAGAGAGATCTTAAGCAGGCTCCATGCCCAGTGCAGAGCCCGATGCCGGGGCTCAATCTCACAACCCTGAGATCGTGACCTGAGCCGAAATCAAGAGTCAGATACTCAACTGATTGAGCCACCCAAGATGCCCAAGAACTCTGTTTTCTATCACAACCCGTCATATATTCAAATATATATAACTGAGTTTCTCAAAATTATACTTAATCCCTGTTATGCCCAGTGTCCTCTGATGTCTTCTGTTCTAATCTATTAAAAACCTTGTTGGGGCTCACGAAATTGATTTATCCACTTATGGTGGGTTGGGTCCTACTGCTTGAAAACCACTGAAATAAATACAGCCTTGGCCCTGAATAAATATGTAGAACTAGGGGGAGTGAAACATAAATACTGTGTCTAATATGGAACCGTAATAAGTGAATGCATTATGGGAGTTCAGCTGAAAGCAATTAATTCTGCATTGTTGAGGTTGGCAGTAGAATTTGGGGATGATAAGCGTCATTTAACCCAGACAGTACAGATAGGGTAGGGTTTTTCCAGAGGAAGTAGTTAGAGAAGGTAATGAGCGCAGAGAAGAGTTGAGGCAAATGTTCTGAGGCATGACTGCATGTGGTATGTTCAAGAAATGGTCAGTAATCTACAGCTGGTGCTTAGGGTGGGTTATGCGAGGTTCTGTACTAGGTGCTGATGGGAAGTTAGCTAAACATGCAGTGGAAAATACTGGTTGGGGCCAGAATGAAATCACTTTTTAAAAATTGTACTTAAAAGTTTAGTATATTGTGGGGTGAGGAAGATTTTTAAGCAGCTAAGTGACAGGTGAGATTTGGGTCTTTGGAAGTTGGCTGTGGCAGCTCTGTGATGGAGGCGAGACTGGAGTCAAGGACATGTAGTAATTATGGTAGTGAGGGCATCGGATGAGGGCGGGGTGGGATCCGTTATCTAGACACCTGCAAGTTGCATTTCTCTAAAAGAAACGCCACCGACTGTGTCCTCACTTGTTAGATTGAGGAAACAATGGAGACTGCTACTCCGCACCTAACCGTTACAACAGGGAGGAATTGGCTGGAATCGAAAATAATAGGGCCATTGGGAGAAAAGGTCCGTGCAGTTTTAGAGCTCATGATAGGTCTTTAAGGAGGTGGATGTTCCGCAGTGTAGAGAATAGACCTTATTCCGTGTCAGGAGACCGGGGGGAAGAAGGCTGGAAAGGCCTGCAAGCTGAAGGGCAGTTGGAGGAGGGATGTTCACAGGACAGAAAGGAGGAGGCCCCTGGGGAAGCTGGTGTGGCTGTGCTGGAAGCAGTGTGAACTCAGGTTCCGCAAGGGCAGCTGCAAAGAAAGGGCGCATAGCTGAAGTGAAGGTCTGAGCACAGGTTTTGAAGAACAGTGTCAGGAAAATTAGTGTGGTCCAAGGCCAAGATTGTAAAAGTGATTGTAAAACTAGGAAGGGTTTGTAACATTCTGTGGAGAGTGAAGAGTAAAAAAAGTTTCCTGCTTGGTTGGGCTGGTTGGTGTAATACCAAAATTATTCATTCAGCGCTCAGCAAAGACCTTTCGTGTGCCGCCTGTGGGCTTTATTGGCAGAGGGGAAGTGGGAAGCTTCTAATTTTTCTTTTGTCTTTTCTGGGAAAAAACATGGTTTTTTGGAACAAATAAAGTGAACACTGGTTGTTGCCAAGAAAAACCCTCAATAGGTGGAGATTTTAGGTAGGTCACTTAGCTCACTTCTCTTGGTTGAATTACATTCCTTGGCCGTGACGGAGTAACTGGTGGTGATCTTTGAGATTTGTGGAGAGAAAGGGAGATGTACTGAAGGAAAGCATATGGACACATTTTGACTTTCAATAAAGGGTGGGTGTGTTGTGTTTTACAGATGATAGACTAATAACCTTGAGGTCAGATTCGGGCAAGATTCTAGAGGCTTTTTAGTGTAGATAAGAGTATGATTTCTGGGTCAGGTTCCAATTTTGCCGGTTTTTAACTGTGTGAACTTGGGAAG